TAAAGCAAAAGGAGCCCCTACCAAGTATTGAGTACATGTACAGTAAATTAACATACTTTCCAGAAGGCCAACAATTCACTAAAAATGTTTTTTTTATTGGTCTTATGAAGTATTCTAATTGGTTGAGATAGTGAATTGGTGGGTTTTTGTTAAATGTGAGCCAAAATCATCACAATTAAAAGAAGACTTAAACGAGTTTAACAATTTGAGTTGAATTTCTGAAATAAATGAACTTTCCCACGACATTCTAATTTATTGAGATGCACCTGTACACACATGCTATACAGATCATGTAGAGTCGTGCATTAATTTGAGTGCTGACAGTTATTATGGGAGTGGCTTGATGGAGCGCAGGAGATGCAGATAATGATCTTGACCCTTAAGAAACTTTAATTAATGCTGTCACGTAACAAATATGTTGAAATATAAAATTAAAGGACTTGTTAATTACTACATTGAAATAAAAATGTAAAGCCTGTACAAATATTAGAAATCGGGAATATAAATAACTGGGAATCGTGTAAACAATTTAAATAAAATAAAAACAGTGCACATTTCATTTATCTATTATAACATTTATGTAGTTTTGTGCGCTTGGCTGTTTCCTTATAAAAGTCCAAAAATTGGGCAAGTTTTTCGTCAGGTGTCTTTTTTAATTATATGATGTCATTACGTTGCTGTCTTGCCGCCAGCCAATCGCTGCATCGATAAATAGCCCCTTTTAAACCAACCCATGATCGCGCAATTATCTCAGATAACTCAATCCAGCCAGACTAATCAACAACAGGTGCGTTCGAAGAACCGAATTAGCCAGATCCTGATTACCGCGATGATATAATCTTGAATGTGACATTTCATCTCGGATATAATAAGCGACGTACGAAGAACGGGCCCCAGCACTGTTTGTTCTTTTTCCAGTTTAACGTACATAAAAAAAATAAATTAAATAAAAAATCAACCCAGCCTAAGCTTGTTTGCCGTTCAAACTTTTGTACAGTGTAGCTGAATGTGAAGGCATCACTGAATTAAAAAGGGACGTATTCTACTTATTACATATTATTGGTGTATTACACTTATTAGTGCAATGCAGTCAAGTCTGAAACAGTGCTTGGAAAAACAGTATTTGTGTAATAATCATTCAAGCACAACATACTAAATCAATTGACGAGTAACTGCTAATATTATTTAAAGCTAAACGTCCTTCCTTGGATAATAATAAATGCACTCAAAGAAAAAGTGGAAAAGACGAGCTAAAACTATTAAAATAATTTTCTTGATGACAACTGATGCTAAATTGCGTATAAAACAATACAATGCTTTACTGTTATGCTAACTCGCTAACTAAAGCATGTTAGCCCGTGAGCGCACATTTTCCCCGGTAAGAAATTAACATTTATCATCACACTCACTTGAAGTTGCCGGTCTCGTAGAGCTTTTAATCTTTCTTTCCTTTTCAAAGCTTGCTCTTGTAAAGAACCCACAGGTTTCTCCATGGTGAAAATAAAGCACGGGTAGCAGGATCGATGAATCTGTAATCGGTTATGCAGGCTGCTCAGCGCTTGCTAGAAGAGCACCGAACACATCGATTTTGCTACTCAGACTTGAACATTTAAAAACTACCTGTAAATATGTAAATAACACATTTATATATACTATAATACACTTACTAATTACAGTTACAACATAATGATAATATCACATTCCTGATATAATAAAAAAAAAAGTAAAAAAAAAAAAAAATTAGTCTGTGCATATAAAATGATGGTATTTTTATCATTTGATTATTAAGTTACTCGGAATGCACTGATACTAGTGACATACGCAGGACTCCGGATGTTTGTGAGTTTGGTGATTGACTCTGTAAATTCTGATTTGTGCAATACTTTTATGCATCTACATGAGCTTAGAAGGATGTGCATTTGCTTTCTACTGAAAAATCACCAAATATACAAAAATATTGTCATTTACATACTCCAATGTCATGTAATTTCCTTTTTTCCATGAAACACAAAAAGTGATTCCGGAGCTTGTGTTTTTCACACAAGGAAAGTGGATGGTGATTTATAAATCATTATATAAATCATAAATACATTAATATTTTAGCTAGCACTATGAGCTAATCATTTCATGTTATGGCTGAAAACTGATAAATGGCTGATTTAAAAAAAATCTAAACTATTAAAAAATATAATACAATCAAATTTATAGTTTACAACTGCATATAGACTTTAAAACATGACAGTAAAATATATCATACAGATAACCAATAGGCTACTATATGCTCTGGTCGGTTCAAAAAAGAAAGAACAAGTAACATTTATAAAGATTTATAAAGACAAATTTTAATGTAAGTGATCAACACATTTAAAGGAACACTCCACTATTTTTGAAAATGGGCTCATTTTCCAACTCCCCTAGAGTGCAGCAGGCAAGCAGGTGGTCACGTTGGTTATGTTGACGGAAGTTAGCTTATTTTCAGGTGCTGCGTAATATCATTGTGCCTGCTGCCACCCATGGTATGGCAGCAAAGTTCCTTGATTATTACGCCGGAATGAGAGTATAGTTCCTAGCCATATCGGCCTAGAAAATTTTCATTTTCCCGTCAGTCTTAGTACACGATGTAACTACAGAAGAGTCAAGTTTTAAATAGGAAAAATATCGAAACTCTTTGGTCATTTTTGAGCGAGATGCTAACGGTCTAATCAGATTCAATGATCTATGCTAAGCTACAGCTAAAAGTGCTACCGCCAGACCCGGAGATCGGCTGAATGGATTCGAAAACGGTAAAACTCAACTGTTTAACTCTAGGGGAGTTGGAAAATGAGCCTATTTTCAAAAATAGTGGAGAGTTCCTTTAATACATGAACACACACAGCTCTATGCATAAATAAAATCAGAAATCACAACTCTTCTGAATAGAAAAAAATGACCCACACAAGTTCCCCAAACAGGCAAACAAACACCCCGAACATGACATGGTGTGGAATGTAGGGCATTGCCATGGCAATACAGCTGCCTCTAGGTCCATCCTCTTCCCAGTGACCAAACAGTCACAAAGATGCACTTAGCAATGGGATTAATACAAATTGTGCAGTATGACCCACTCTCTCTTAGACTATCATTTTATTTAATTATTAAAATGAGTAAAAAATTTTAAATATTTTATTGTTTAAAGTTAATGGGCACATATTGGTAAAAGGGGTAATAGAAAGGATGCATTGTTTAAGCTGTGGTATCTTTTAATCTATGTCAGAAGGTTACAGTCAAAACCATATTGTTGTTCCAGTAAGGCACCAAACACAATAGACCTTACAGAATTATGCTAAATGTGGTGGTGTCATTGCACATGCACTTATAGACAAAAACAAATGTGCCAAATGAAAACGGGCAAGACAATAAATGGGTCATTCAGTCTCTTTACCAACACAACTTTATTTGCATAGAGTTTGCATGGGTGCTCAAGGGATCCAATGACTATGGATCTTGAATGATTTTGAATGTAAAATTGTGATATTTTACTCTCAAAAGCTTGAGGTGTGGAAAAACAACTCGTCAAGTCACACAAGGAATATTAATACTTCATAAGACATGGCTGCCCAAATGCACGAATTAGGGGGAAAACACTTTTATTTTCTTCCTATATAACTTCTGTGGATACCACTCTGTCAATAGCTTTTCCTTGAATTACCGTGGTTTGTTCTCTATACCAATTCATCTAGATCCTGTTTGTTTCTAAATGGTGAACTGAGAATTTGTTTTGTGGAGAATAAATACTACTGCAGTGTGTTGTGTAGAATAATGATGACACTGTGTTTTGGTTTTACTTGTGCCTCCAAAGCGTTTTCAGGCTCTCCAACCTCAGGTGTCCACCCCTGTAGTTAAAATAAATGACAACTAATTAACACGAGCAATGTGACAAATCCCAATTATGATCCAAAATCACAGCAAAACCCCGAGATAGAGGTGTGCGCGGGACTTTTTTAGTCCCGCTCCCGCAAGGTTCTATTCTATTTATTGGTCTTGTCAAGTGTCTTGAATTTATTGACTTTGACTTGAATTTATATGAATTATCTTCAGACACAAAATTCGTTTAATATTTAGTAGGAAAAAAAGTGTCAGAGAAAATAAAAATGTTGTACAAAAATTTTATTTCTTATTTTTATTCGTCTTGTCAGGATACAATTCATTTAACATTGACAACACAATATGGAAAAAGTGTCCCAGAGAGAAAAAAAATACAAATGTAGGTTGTACAAAAATAGCCTATTAGCTATTTTTATTGGTCTTGTCAAAATACTAAATTCATTTGACATTTTTCTATTAACACAGTAGGAAAAGTGTCGCAGAGAAAAATAAATAAATATGACATCTTTCATTTAAAAACTAAATTATAGGCTAAGCAAAATATAAACAAAACCGAGTTGAACGTCCTTCAAGGACAGCGCATCCACACTTTGCTCCATCCTTATTCTGCTCTGTCACTCATCGACAACCTGCCTGTTCTGTCTGAGGGCCGTATATTTATCACTGGTACAGCCTGCTCTGAGCATCGTTATGCATATTTTTATCCGTCTGGTCAGGATACAATTCATTTAACATTGACAAACAAATAGGAAAAAGTGTCCCAGAGAGAAAAAAAATACAAATGTAGGTTGTACAAAAATAGCCTATTAGCTATTTTTATTGGTCTTGTCAAAATACTAAATTCATTTGACATTTTTCTATTAACACAGTAGGAAAAGTGTCGCAGAGAAAAATAAATAAATATGACATCTTTCATTTAAAAACTAAATTATAGGCTAAGCAAAATATAAACAAAACCGAGTTGAACGTCCTTCAAGGACAGCGCATCCACACTTTGCTCCATCCTTATTCTGCTCTGTCACTCATCGACAACCTGCCTGTTCTGTCTGAGGGCCGTATATTTATCACTGGTACAGCCTGCTCTGAGCATCGTTATGCACATGCTGAGCACAGACCCAGCAAATAAAACGCTTGACGTTTAAAGCATGCGTGCAGCGCGTGCATCCTGAGTGCAAGCTGTACGGTGGTCAATAAGAATAAAGCATAGATATGCTGTTCTAAATGGACGTTGGGAACGGGGTATTGATAGACCGCCCGTTCCCGTTCAGAATGCAGACCTCTACCCCGAGATACAATGAATCAGAGGCAGAGCCAATGTCCCAATGTGCAAATTTCAGTCAAGATGGAAACATCAAATATTCAAACAGCGTTCACTATACATAAACACATTTTTTTATGCATTGCACAGCCACGACAAACAAACCCCTCATCCCCAAGACTCGAGGCTTCTTTCATTTTTGGTGAACTATCCCTTCGGGCTGCACAATTAATCGCATTTCTAATCGCAATTACAATTAGGGATGCCACAATTACATAATCGTTCAAAGCAGCAATTAATCGTTCAAAGTTCACTTATGTTATTCTGCATGCTTAAGATGCTTTTTTCTCTCTACATGTTATCTTAAGGGTTTTTCCATTGTTTTAATATTAGTTTTAGTATAACATTATAACACCATGCATATTTTTACGTTGCTTCAAACAAAGGTGTATACATAATTCATTTCATCGTAAATTAATAATCGCAATTACAATTTCAAATGAATAATCGACAATTATGATTTTTGTCATAATCGTGCAGCCCTACAATCTAAAAAATGCTGGGTTAAATACAACCCAGTGCTGGGTAAAATAGGGACAAACCCAGCAATTGGGTTGTTTTGACCCAGCGGTTGGGTTACTACCCAGAAGGTTGGGTTAAATGTTTAACCCAACCTTCTGGGTAGTAACCCAACCACTGGGTCAAAACAACCCAATTGCTGGGTTTGTCTCTATTTTACCCAGCACTGGGTTGTATTTAACCCAGCATTTTTTAGAGTGTACTATCCCTTTAAATAGCATGACAGAAATTCAAAATCTTTGGAATGAATTGAGATGACAGGAAAAATGCATGTTTATACATTTATATCACAATCAGCTGTGGCACTACGATGCTCAATGGTTTCCCCTTATCTTGTGCAGCTTTGAGGCTGAACTGCTCCAGGCTGTTTCTTGCTTTGCTCTCTACTGCCTCTGTATCGCTCGAGAGGAGTGGAGCGCGAGCGGGGTAATGCGTGCACAGACAAGTGCGTTCAACTCCTCTAGAATTCCTCCAGGAGAAATGAAATGCACATTTATCCAAGCGCCTAAACCGCGATATTTCTCAAATGTTGCTCTCTACATTCTCTAGTTTCTTTGCTCAGAATTGTCCTTTTGACCCGCCTTCCATCTAAAAGACATGCAACTTTGGCAGCGCTTGGCAACCAGGTAGTGGACAGCTGTACAGTAGCATGCAGTTTCTAGCAAACAGTATTCCCTGGATCTTCGCTGAGTCAATCCATGGCCCCTTCGTTTGTGGATGTATATTCAGATGGTCTGACTAACGCCTAAGTGGAGGAAACACGCAGAAGGGCGAGGGAGAATGGCTTCGAAAGAGCGACTGTACGAGCTGTGGATGTTATATTACACTAAGGTGAGTCATGAGCGGGCGATCGCGCGAGCCACTCGACACCTGTTGGCTTCGGAGTTTATGTTGTCGCAAACTTGCCACTGTCATTTCATTTTATATCGCATCCTGCATATAGTTAAAAGGCAAGCATATTCGCCATAATTCCTATCCGCTTTGTGTTGAAACAGTTTCAGGAAGTGCGTCCGTGGTTATTTTTTGGGAAGGTTGCGCTTGCACGTACACAGTGAAAACATTTTGACGCTCACTTAATATTTCATCAGCAGTGTTGGGGAAAGTTACTTTTAAAAGTAATGCATTGCAATATTGCGTTACTCCACAACAAAGTAACTAATTACGTTACTTAGTTACTTTTTATGGAAAGTAATGCGTTGCGTTACTTTTCCTTTAAATAGCATGACAGAAATTCAAAATCTTTGGAATGAATTGAGATGACAGGAAAAATGCATGTTTATACATTTATATCACAATCAGCTGTGGCACTACGATGCTCAATGGTTTCCCCTTATCTTGTGCAGCTTTGAGGCTGAACTGCTCCAGGCTGTTTCTTGCTTTGCTCTCTACTGCCTCTGTATCGCTCGAGAGGAGTGGAGCGCGAGCGGGGTAATGCGTGCACAGACAAGTGCGTTCAACTCCTCTAGAATTCCTCCAGGAGAAATGAAATGCACATTTATCCAAGCGCCTAAACCGCGATATTTCTCAAATGTTGCTCTCTACATTCTCTAGTTTCTTTGCTCAGAATTGTCCTTTTGACCCGCCTTCCATCTAAAAGACATGCAACTTTGGCAGCGCTTGGCAACCAGGTAGTGGACAGCTGTACAGTAGCATGCAGTTTCTAGCAAACAGTATTCCCTGGATCTTCGCTGAGTCAATCCATGGCCCCTTCGTTTGTGGATGTATATTCAGATGGTCTGACTAACGCCTAAGTGGAGGAAACACGCAGAAGGGCGAGGGAGAATGGCTTCGAAAGAGCGACTGTACGAGCTGTGGATGTTATATTACACTAAGGTGAGTCATGAGCGGGCGATCGCGCGAGCCACTCGACACCTGTTGGCTTCGGAGTTTATGTTGTCGCAAACTTGCCACTGTCACAGAGAATATAATGTGTTATCTAATTTTTTTATTTTAAATCTTTAATTACAACGCCGAGGTACTTTAACTACATACTTGAATTGTTTCGAGTTTTTTTTTTGTATGCTGAAATGCTTTGGATTTACTTGTGAATTAGCTATGTCCGATTCGCGAACGAATCGTTCTTTTGAGTCGCTTTGCTGAGCAGGTCTCTCGTCAACAATTCACTGACTAGAGAATAGAGAATTGTATGTTTACAGTTTGGGAGTTGACAGTTTTATCATCAGTTTTATGACTTTTATTTTTATGAGCTGAAAGTGGTTGTAAAGTGAACTGGGGCCCATGAAATTGCAATGCAAACTTTTAATAATGCTTAATCAAAAAGCAAAGAAAAAATAAATAAAAGAAAAACAGTATCCGAATGTGCAGTGTTAATATTTTCCATATTCATTTCTAACCTGTATTTTAATTTGTGTTTTAGGGTTACAATGTCTCTAAACCTAACGGATAATGTCCTGCTCCTCAGACCACTGATGTTTTTACTTTTTTAACTACATTGTTATCATCATTAATATGTGTGTACCTATGGATTTTTATTTTCTGAGACATTTAGAATATGTAATATGCCATGCAAGGATGTCTGGGGCCACTTGATTATGTCATGAAGAATCACTGAATCATTTTTTTAGCCGTTTGAAAGAAACTATTCTGGAATAACCTGATTCACAGAAATGATTCGAGCTTCCCATCACTATGAATGGGAAATAAATGGACATTCCACATTAAGGATGGTTATACTGACAACACCCTCTGGCGGACTGGTGCATACAAAGGCCACACTGCACTCTTGCACATTTTTGAGAGCAATTATCAGTCGGGCATCCATGTATTCCATCTGAAACTCTGTCATTATGGCCACTTCACTGGTCAGCAGCTGAAGTCAGCTGTAATGCCTCACTATTGCAAGTGTTCTTTATGAATGGCTACCATGGTAACCAAAACAGCAGGTGCAGGATACAAGAAACACCAGGGGTCACCATAGAGAAATGTTTTAATTTGGCACCCACACTCTTTAAAAAATATAGTTAGCAGATTGCATGGAAAATAAGCTTTGTGAATTATTCAAAAGTGTTCCAGTCTGGACTTGCTGGTCTTGGCACAAAGTTCTCCAGATAGCTGGCAGTGTTTCTCTAGATCTCATCCATTTTATAATCTAAAAAGGAACCCTTTGTCATTTTATTCCCATTTATTAATAACTTCACACGTACAGCTAACAGGGATCCATACCATGGATGGACTTGTTCCACTGACTTGTTGCAGCAGGCGTATGGGTCTGCCTTTTCCCACAGTTACACGGATATAAATGTGATTTTCTGTGAAACAAGGATAAAAGGCGTAATGTATGTGATTTTTGCACACCCATATTTATGAATTAGTTTCCCCTTGCATGGTTGACAGCACAATGCTTTCCAGTGTTTTGAATCTTGTTTGAAACACCCATTTTAATGCCTCTGCTGGCTACTGTCTGCTGCGATTTTAAATGGATAAGGTTGAAAATTTGCTTGTTTTTCTCTGGGCTCCTGAGGCCTTGCTCTATTTTAAACTCATTTAAAGCTCTCCTCAGCTATTATGCAAGTCATTTGACCGTAGAATGAGTCCTATGTCCTTCCAATGTAATGAGGTCTCATGGAAAGATTGTCAATTTTATTACATTTTATTTTAATTTTGTATCATAATTGCAATTACATGTTATTTTAGAATCTGGTTACAGGCATAACATGTTTTCTCAAGATGTTAGCTTGAAGTCAGCATACATTAAAATTCACCCTATTTATTTTTTTTAATTTGTTACACTTGGATGTACATCACTGTACAGTAGGGATGTGCTGTACGACTAATTTCACTGCCATTTAAATAGAAAATTTGTAACCAACTAGTTGTCTAATCTAAAATTAAGAAAATGTCAGAAGACAATTGTATTGTGTGATCCATTTGAAACACTAAAACTATGATTCAACATGTCAAATAATCCCAGATATCTTATTATGCAACTTGATCTTATTTTCTATCAAGCGGATAAAATTTACAACACTGACAGCAACAAAAACAGCAGATGGGTTGAATGACAATGCAAATTCACTCTCTGACAGTAGGTGGCGCTTTTGGACAAGCAAAAATACAGTGGTTACCATGGTTGCCCCTCTAAACAAAGCAGTGCTGTGCTTATAAACACAATTTTATTAAGCGTTATAGGGAGATAACATGAAAAAATGTCAACAAAACTTTTCAAAATAGTTATTTTTAAATAATAATTATTTTTAAAACATAAAATAATATACTAGTTGAGTCAGTGTCGACCATCAGCTGCACATCCTAGTCTTGCACATCCTTACTGTACATAAGAAAATAAAAATCTGCCGCTACATTTTCATTGTGAATTTAAAGATGTATTTAGTAATATTTTATTTCTGGCACTGGCTAGTTTGGTAGTCATCTTGGACTTCTTGACACCTAGTGATGTGGATGTAGCTTAACACAAAAGCAAAGGTTTGCCATTGTAGAAATGCGCCATTTGCAGTCAGACATGATTAATGTATTCTGTGAGCAAATGTGCTCAGTTAGGGGAAGGCTACCAAGACTAGTATTTGGCTGGTCATGTGATCTTAAGATGGCTGCCCCCATAAGTGACCCTCTCCATGTAGAATAAAAACAGTTATGGCAGGAGTCTTCATCACATGTGAGTCTGTACATGACTTTAAACATATTGTACATTAATTTCTTTAAGTGTAAAACCTTTTTAATGAGACAAAAATCAAAGAGCTCACTGCTAAACAAGCGTTTAATGTTTTCAGTGGCTGAATACTTCGTCCCCATCAGAGGCAGCTGTACGCAATCGCAGAAGAACAGCAAAGTTTAACGTCATGACATTCCGGTGATCTTGCTGTATTGTAAAAATGTGCCAGCTATATTTTCTTTTGGCTGCGAGAGCAACGCTGCCTTTCTGTCAGACCACTTCCTCTTGAGTGTGCTTTTCAGAGGACAACATCGATGTGATAAAACCACTTCCTGTCATGGTTGCTACCATTTGTAACCTCCCTGAAAAACCTGTTTGTCAGTTGGCAAACACATGGTACACATCATCACCCCAATTCAGCTGAAGACCGATTGAGGAAGAGGTTTTGGAAAATAACAAGCTTGTGTTTATGTGTTGTGATTTTTGTGAGTTTGAGGGTTGACACATTCTGTGAGCATCTGATATGTGGAGGGCCTTCATGCAGGATGGTGTGCAAATGAGCTTGAGTTGGTTGTCTAAATCTATATTTGAAATAGCCTCAATGAAAGCAACAGTCCACGCAAATATTGTCATTTATGTACCTCAGTGTCATGATTTTGTTTTTTTGTTTTTTCATGAAAAACAAAAGGAGGTTCTGGAGCCTCTAGTTTCCACACTGGTTGATTTATACTGCCAAGCTCCAAAAAAGAACAACAAAAAAATATCATCAATGGTGTTGAGATGAGGATGAGGGTGAGTAAATGATGACAACATTGACAGAACATCATTGAATTTTTCACCAATTCTAAGAAATTGTCATCAACATGAAGTGACAGACTTGCTGGATGCCCTCATGGTTACGCAATCATACATATTACATTATAATACAACTATTTATCAGTTATTTGTTGCTCCTTTTCGTTCCTCTTAGGAGGAAACTAACTTGTGTTTTAACAGACAACAAACCTGCCTGTTAAACTGAATAGATTTTAGAGTAATGTCACAATAGGCGGAGAGTCCTTGTGTAGGCAGCGGTGAAAAAACATCAACTCAATTCTTTAAACTGCCGTTGTGTACCTTTGTCATGTACCTGTAAGTCAAGTCAAGTTTTTTTAGATTTATGTCACGTTTAAGACAAATGCTTGTGTACAGGTGCCTTTATTTGACCATAATCTTGTGTGAATGCCAGTGTTTCGCATGTAAGGCTCTTAAAAGCATTTTCAGCTCTTGCTTTATCTTCCCCTTGCTTTATATTCTGTGGCTTAAAGGTATAGCAAATCTCTCTGTTGGATCTAGTTCAATGCTTTAATAGATGCCTAACGCTATTCAGCAGGGCTTTGCCTTTCCAGAGCACTTGTTCGTTGTCAGAAAAGTTGGAAAAACGAATTTAACATTCACATTTAAAAATGAAAGTTCTTTATTGGCATTGATGGTTCCATGAAAAACCTTTAACTTCCGTGGAAAATTACAATTTCACAAAATGTCCTTTATAGTGGAAAAAGGTTCTTTAGATTATCCAGATGTTCTTCACACTAGACAAAATGGGTCTTTTAAGAACTGATCACTGAAAGGTTATTTGGCATCACTGTGAAAATCCACCTTTTGGAGAGAAGGTGCTTGATGCAGAGCCATTGATTGTAGCTGGACATCCAGCTCCTCTTCGATATAATGGGTGGAGCTTGAAGTTCCAACCACACTCTAACCCTAAACAATAACCCTGTCCCTAAACATAACTAGATAAAGTTCCACCCATTAGGTCCACAGAGGTGGAGCTGGACTAGATCAATCTCCACCCATTTGACCAATTTGGCTCTGCAGCGAGTACCACTTTTGCTGCTTTTGGAGCCTTTTTTAAGAGTATTGTGTGATCCGGCTATCCACTTAAATGTATGCAGTCAATTTTTATCCTGAGACATCTGATTGATTATTCTAAAGGTTCATTCAATGTCTAAACATTGTAGAGTTTAGCTGATATATTGGATTGCCTGTGTTTTTCTTCAGAATATTTGATATTAGACAGGTATTTTCTGTCACAACTTCAGCCTCTGTGGCTCCCTCCGATCACCACCAGAGGGAACCATCACCGGCGTACTGAGCGACCCTTTTGGACTCCAATTCCCACAATGCCCCATGCCAGAGACTAATCAGCTGCACAGGTGTTTCC